AAAAAAAAAAAAAAAAGATATATGCATACAAGTCAGCTCTTGAGTCCCTTCCCCTTTAAGAAAGATCTATCTCCCTACTTCCTATTATCTCTTTTATTTTGCTCTTTATACTTTGGGTTTCTCTTTTCAGAGAAACCATGTGATATTGAAACTTGTGTGTCTGATTTATTTCACTTAACAGCATGGTCTCAAAGTGCATCCATTTTCCTACAGATGACTCAAGTTTATCCTTCTTTATGGCCAAGTAGTACTCCATTATATGTAAATACATTTTCTTTACCCGTTAATCTGTTGATGGACATACAGACTGCCTCCAAGGTTTAGTGCTGCTTCCAAGAATTGTGCTGCTAAAAGCATGTATATGCATGGATCACTGTAATATGATGTTTTTAACTCTTTTGGGTAGATACCTAGAAGGGGGATAGCTGGATCAAATGGAATTTCTAGTTTTAGTTTTTTGAGGAATCTCCGTACTGATTTCCCTAGTGTTTGTACTAGTTTACATTCCCACAGCCTCTCTAGCATTTATTATTATTTGGTTCCTTAATGACAGCCATTCTTCCTAGGGTAAGATGGAATATCTGTGTTTTTTAAATTTGTATTTCTCTAATGGTCAGCAATGTTGAGCATTTCTTCATGTATTTACAGTATAGGCCATCTGTACTTCTTCTGGGTAGTGTCTGTTCATTTCACTTGCCCATTTTTGAATGGGTCTCTTATTGAGGGGGAGGTCTAATTTTTTGAGTTCTTTATATATTCCAAATATTAGTCCTCTGTGTGAGGAATAGCTGGCAAAAAATCTTTCTCAGTCTGTAGATTGTCTCTTCGTTATGTTAAGCATTGCTTTTGTTGTGCAGACTTTTTAATTTGAAATAATCACATTTGTTAATTCTTGGTATCACTTCCTGTGCAGCCGGGGTTCTGTTCAGAAAGTCCTTGCCTATGCCTGTGTCTTCAAGATTTTTATCTATTTTACCTTTCAGCAGATAAAATGTTTCTGTTTGAATATTTAAATCTTTGATCTATTTTTATTTTATTTTAATACATGCTGAATGATACGAGTCTAGATGTAGTCTTCTGCATGTGGATAGTTTTCCCAGCACCATTTGGCTATCTTTCCTCCAAGATATGTTTTTGGCCCTTTTGTCAAAGATCAGACGGGTGAATGTGCCTGGAGTTATTTCTGTATCCTCTATTCTGTTCCATTGATCCGCATGTCTGTTTGGAGCCAGTACCAAGCTGTTCTGATCACTGTAGCTTTGTGATATAACTTCAGCTCTGGAATGGTGAGCTTCCTACTTTGCTTTTGTTACCCAGGATTGTTTTGGCTATTCTGGGTCTCTTCTGGTTCCATACACATTTTAGGATTGCTTTCTCCAGTTCTGTGAAGAATGCTGTTGGTATTTTGATTGAGATTGCATGAAATCTATATATCAGTTTTGCAAGTATGCCCATTTTGACTATCTGGGTTCCACCTATCCAGGAACCCAGATAGTATCTTTCCATTTTCTGAAGTCTTGTTTGATCTCCCTTTTCAGAGTACTATAGGTTTTTCATTGTAGAAACTTTTTACTTCCTTGGTTAGGTTGATCTTAAATATTTAATTTTTCTTGGTCTGTTGGGAATGTTATTTCTTTCCTAATTTAATCTTCAACAAAATACTAGCAAACTAAATCCTGCAACATAAAAAAAGAATATGATATCATGACCAAATAGGATTTAGCTCAGAAATGCAAGGTTGGCTCACCATCTGAAAATTAACTGATGTAATTTACCATATTGATAGAATAAAAGCCACAAAGAAGATGAGCATCTTCATAGATGCAAAAACAATGATTTGACAAAATCCAGCCCCCATTCATTATATTAATACTCAGCGTACTAAAAATAGATGGTAGCCGGGCGTGGTGCCACACACTTGTAATCCCAGCACCCAGGCAGGCTGAGGCAGGAGGATCGTTGCTAGTTCAAGACCAGCCTGGGCTACAAAGTCAGCTCAAGGCCAGCCTGAACTGTATAGCGAGACCCTGTCTCAAAAAAGACAATAAATAAATAAGTAAATAAATAAATAAATAAATAAAAGATGGTAAAATTCTCAAACTTGTAAAGGGCAGCTGTGAAAATATCAATAGCTAACATCATGCTTAGAGGTAAAAGTATAAAAGTTTTCCCTCTAAAATCAGGAACTCTAGCCACTTTTATTCAGGATTGTGCTAGAGGATATAATCAGGGAAAATAGGAGAGAAAAAGAAAAGATAAAGCATCCAGATTGGAAAGTAATCAAAAACAATTACACGTGACAGGATCTGGAGTTTTTCTTGGGGGTATCTGTTTTATTTTGTCCTGGGGATTGAACTCAGGGCCTTCACACTGAGTGACATCCCCAATCCTTTTTATATTTCATTTTGAGACAGGATTTTACTATGGTGCCCAGTC